TTAAAAGTGTTAGCCTCACATATTGTTTTTTTTTGCTAATTGCATGATAAAAATATAACAGACTATTAAATGTGAGTCTATACATGTGAGATGGCTTATGTTAGAGCCCATAAAGCCTTAGTATAATCATACTTGTGTTGATCTTGATGTAATAACCCGTATTGTTCACTAAGATTTACCCGACAAACAATGCTCGTCAAAACATTGCAATCGACCTGAAGTCGCTCACCTAATAATTCTAATTTTGCTATCAAGACACAAAAGGTGATGCTCATGCAATCATGCTACATGACACAATCAAGTGGGCATACAAGTACAACCAATGTATTCATTGTCTTCAAAGTGTGACCCAAATTGAGCACATAATGTGAAATGCTTACTGCTCTCAAGTGCGATGCCATAAGAGATTTAGGAGATTTACACATCATTGGGCTAGCATTGCTAGCCACTACTCATAAAAAATTTGCAAGTATTGATCTACACACATTTGGTTGCATATGCGTGTGTTATACCGCAAGTTCCAATGCTTGAGGAGACACCAAGCAAGCATATAATAAGGCAATTTTTTTTATTGTAATAATATTTAACATATCACATATCATTTGAAAATTTGATTTTTGTTGTGCGCACATATATGAATTCAAGCAACTGACATGACATAAATGAGATGCAAAGGCAAGCGCAAGAAATGTAGTATGCAATTAATTGGTTGATTGGGCCTTGGTAGCCAACCAAACCAAAGTGATTGGTTGATTGGATCTTGGTGGCTGATCAAACCAAATTAGTTGATTTTCTTGATCAGGCCTTGGTGGCCAATCAAACCAAAGTTATTGGTTTTGTGATCGGGATCAGACCTTAGTGGTTGATCAAATGAAAGTGTTTGGTTTTGTGAGCAGGCCTTGGTCGTCTGAACCAATGTGTTCAATTTTTTGATCAATCCTTGGTGGCTGATCTAACCAAATTAATTGGTTTTATGATCAAGCATTGGTATTCAATCGAACAAAAGTGGTTGGTTTTGTGATTGGGCCTTGGTGGTCGATTGAACCAAAGTAGCTGAGCTGATCAAACCAAAGTGGTTGGTTTTGTGATCAAGCCTTAGTGGCTAATCAAACTAAAGTGGATGGTTTTATGACTGGCCTTGGTGGCCGATCAGGCCTAACTGATCATTCAATCGGGTCGGTTCAGTCGATTGAACTGTAGTGGGTGGCATATTAGACCTTAGTGGTTGATTGAACCTAATTGATTAATCGATCTGGTTGGGGTGGTTGATTAAACAAAAGTGGATAGTTGTTTGGATCATGGTGGTCGATCGAACCTAATTGGTCGGTCAATTTGGGTTGGGACAACCGATCAAATCGAAGCGGGAGATTAATCAGACCTTGATAGTCAATCGAACCAAATTGATTGGTTGATCGGGTCAGGGTTGTTGATAAAATCGAAGTGGGTGGTTGATCAGACCTTGGTGGCTGATCAAACGTAATTGATCAGTGGATCGGGCCTGAGCGGTCAATTGAACCAAAGTAGACACACGTGAAAAATGTAATTCAAGAAATGTAAGAAAATGAAAGCAAATGCATTCTATACCAAGTTATATTGGTCGATCTAGGGTCTAATGAAGGTGCAATTAACATGTCAAAACTTATCGGGATGTAATTCAATCGAATAATGTAAGTGCATGTGTCAAGTAGTAATGTGGTTCAAAATTATCACATGGTGATCCCATAGGGAAAGTGTAATATTTGTTTTCACAGAAAAATATATAGTTTACTAAATTAGTTAACTTAGCTTAGCATTTATCAAAAGGATATTTTTAAGTTCTACAATCCTAGCAAAATAAAGTACTTCATGTAGGTCGAGTCTATTTTTTCTCTGTCAAATGTATTTGATAGACTCCCTGAGTTGAGTATGTATCGAAAATAAGGTTTGACCATGTTTTCGACGCGTTGGGCGCATCGAATCACATGATGGGGACTAAGAGTGGCATCTCGCATCCTGTACCTTAAGTCCAAATTTTATATTTTTGTATAGATCTACGGTCAAATATTTATATGCGGAGTCTAAACGCCTTCCTGCTTTTCCAGTGACCAAGCACCATTGACCACTTTTATATATTTTGGAGTGCTTTTACTTTTTATTATGTGTTTGCATTGGATTGCTTTCATTATTTCTTTCTGGTTTATCTGGGATGCTAAAAAAATTTCAATTTAGGCTATATAGGACATTAAAAATCCTAATAAAATTTCAAGATAAATTGAAATTTAGGATTAGGGGATTCATGATACTTAAAACCTGTTTTTACTTTCCTGCACGACCTTCGTGCTAGTTTTAAAATAGTTGGATGCATGACTATATCCCAAGTCATAATTAATAGGGCCTCCACAATATCTAAGGACAACTCGGGATAATTGCATCATTTACATCTTTCGAGTAGAAGTCTCTGTACTTCTTTAATCTGATTGACCAAACATAGATTTCTACTTAGGTGGTTGTCTAGTGCGCTTAGGTCGTTAACAGACTCCTCAACCTGGACGAGGTGTAAGTCCTTTTGTTGAGAACGTTTTCAGCTTTGTAGCTCAACTTCACATTCTCCTCTTTTCCAACAACATCCTTGCGATTTCGATGGGCATAAATCCATCTTCTTTGAGCTCCACCTGATAGTCATATGATAGAGTTTCATTCCTTTGACATTAGAGTTATTAAGGTCTTAGCAGACGACACAATTCCTGGATTGATGACCGGGGATCTCTGGACATGTTGGTCGACTACCTTCACGACTGGGTAAACATATTGTCTCAGTAGCTTGGGATGACAGGTTTGTGGTATCCTGACCCAACACCTCTACCTTCTAAGGATTACTCCTCCCTTCCTTTGCCTATCCTTATTGAGCCTTATCACTTCTTTTGTCTTTATTGATATCATTTTGACGGACCAATTATCGATGAGCTGCCACCCATTTGAGATACAATGATTTGTTCTATGCCCTTATGACCCAGATTTGCATTGGCTTATTAAGATTCCCCGTCATGATGATTCAGTTATTTCGCAAGCTCCATATGTCGATGAGTATGTTACTCATGTGGGGGCCATGAGAGACTTACTCTCAGCTCTGTGGCTTAACGGGTGCTTTGAAAGTATTGGAGCATTCCTATGCGAACTAACTGTCTTTTTATAGTCATTTTCTAGTTATCACTTTAAATGTAAGAAGAGTTCTTTGGATCAAGAGTATTCTTGGGTTTAAATGTAAGCAGAACTCATTGGATCAAAAGTATTCTTGGGCAACCCCCAAGATGTAATTAACCAAGTGGGATACGTTCTCTTGGGAGCACTCTAGATCTCAGAACATACGAATACACCTGAATCTCTGGTTGTGGGTAATCTACACAGGTATTCCTTCACAAATATTTGTTCAAGGTGTTTCCACCCGATCTTGTTTGAGCATACATAGTTGACTTATTTTTGCAAGGTTTATTGCACGTAAACTTTCAATGTTCTTTCTCTTGTTTGTCGTCTTTATCGTTTGTTCGTTTTTTCCGATTCTTCTCTTCTCCCTATCATTCACATGATCCAGAAGAGAGAATTATTCAGAAATGGGAAGTATACGACAATGGACAGACTGAGGACCCCTTTAAAAATAAAAAAGAGAAATGAACAAAAAACACCTCCAAAACATAGTTTGATCCCCCTATTTATAGAAAATAAATGAATAAAAGGTAAAATTACATGTTGTAGCTCTGTTTTAGAGGGGTTGTATATGATATTATGGTTTTTTTGCATATTTAGACCTTATGGTCGGCAGATCCTTAGGTCGACCAACAAAGTTGATTTTGGCTAGCTTTATTTTGGACACCAGCCGACCTTTGAATAGATCACCTGTCAGTTCTTGAGAGGGATAGCTGGTCGGCTCTGACATAGTCGGTTGGCTTTCTTGATTATTGATCCTTGGTGATCTTTTTGTGATTTTTTTAGGGAGTTGTTGAGAGAGCTTTTACGTTGACACTTGTTGTGATTATTGGAGGTGTTAGACCTTTGTCTAATCATTTCCTTCGGAGTGATCAGTGTGGATGCCCGTCTACTGTTGGCTTAGATGGCCCTTTGGTTGGCTAAGCATACCTTCAGTTGGCTGACGACCCTTCTGTCGGCTTGGTTAGTCATCAATTGCTCAAATTCGTGAGACATTGTGGTATTTTGTCAGATGAAATCTTTGTTATTTATCTTCTGATCTGAATCATCAGATTGTCTCAAGATTTGCGCTAACACATTTTTGATGTAAGAAAATATATAACAAAATTTTGAAATACCGAAGAACTCATATTAGTGGTACTCTATTTTTCGGATCCTATAAATAGAATGATTTCTAAAATCTCAGTCTTACTTACTATTGCTTGCCCAAACTATCATAGTCATGCTCATCAATCACTATCATCTATCATCCCCATCCTTATTAATATATTTAAATATATAATATGAATATTTAAAACTAACCTAATATATTTAATTCATATCAAAATTTTTTTTTTTAGAGATTTGAGAGAATTTAATAGAGACACACACATAATAGTTGCTTGATCTTGAATTTAAGATCTTCTAGTTGAAATCTTTCATTATTTCTATCGAACCAAATAAAATTTATTATTTTAAAATCTATAAAAGTTAAAAGCTTGAAAGCCCTCTCTAATGCCAAACAGGAAGAAATATTCCCTCAGTACTACGCACCTTAAGGAAGGTGCGTAGCCAATATAATTGCGACACTTGGAAACTCCGGCCCCACCTAATTTAGGGGTATTCGCGACCCGGGCCCGACCCAAAACCCGAATTCACGAAAAAATCCCGCCACAATAAAATGATTTCGCGCCAGCTTCTCTTCTATTTTCGCTGGTTTTTTTCGCTGGTTTTTTTTGACACCTTCGCATAGCTCCGTTCATAGCCGTTGATAGTTCCGGTCACAGCTCCGTTCACAGCTCCGTTCACAGCTCCGTTCACAGCTCCGTTCACAGCTCCGTTCACAGCTCCGTTCACAGCTCCGTTCACAGCTCCGTTCACAGCTCCAGTTCACAGCTTCATGGACTTTCAGATGCCAGAAGTCGATTTCTCCATGAACGTTGAGATGCCGGAAGCCTCCATGAACGTTGAGATGCCATCATTCAGCCTGAACTTTGAAGGCCAAGATGAAGTAAGTGTTGGTGTTACTGTTGTGTTATTGTGGTGTTACTCTGCTATTACTCTTGTTTCTTGCGTTTTATTTAGTACCGTTGTGTGGCTTAGGCTTTAGTTTTATCTCCATGTAAACGTAGGTGTTCGATGTAGTGTCTTTTGGATGTTGTTCCACAGTGTGGTTTGTTATCATGAGGGTTTTTTTCTTTTCGTTAGTATGGTTTAGGAATTCTGCTTTTGTTTGTGTTACCTTTGTGTTATTCTGGTGTTACTGTGGTGTTACTCCATGTAAACATAGGTGTTCACGTATCACTGGAAGCTACTCTACAGCGAGGTTTGGTTTAGTTATAGTTTTTTTTTTCGTTACTATGGTATTAGGCTTCAGGTTTATTTGTATTACCCTTGTGTTATTCGTGTATTACTGTGGTGTTACCGCATGTAAACATAGGTGTTTATCTACTATCTTTTGGGTGATGTTCTACAGAGTGCTTTGGTATTATTATGTTTATTTTTTCGTTACTATGGTTTTAGGCTTCTGTGTTATTCTGGTGTTACTGTAGTGTTACTGTAGTGTTACTGCATGTAGACGTAGGTGTTGATGTAGTATCCTTTGGGTGCTGTTCTACAGTGCATTGGTATTATTATAGTTTTTTTGTTTTACCCTTGTGTTATTATGGTGTTACTGATATCACCATTGTTTTATGCAGTCCTTTGAGGCAACACAAGTTTACAATGATCCTATCGCAGAGAAGTTTCTTAGTAGCATTATTCACAGTGAGGAAGAAGCATATGAAAGCTATCGTGCCTATGCACATCATGTGGGATTCACTGTTCGGAAGGATCATACCACCTACTGGCCGAACTCCAAGAAGCTCAAGGTTAAAGATTACATTTGTGGAAAAGCTGGCTATAAGAAAGAGCCTAACAACACAGTTAAGTTCAGAAAAGCGGACACAAGGACTGGCTGTAAGGCCATGGTACGATTTCATGTTGATTTCGAAGGTAATTGGAAAGTGGCAAAATTCATTGAAAATCATAACCATCCTTTGGCCGACCGTGGTGATAAGCATCTTCTTCGTTCCAACAGAAGGATAAGTGGGATTAATGCAGATGTGTTGAGATCCATGACAGGATCAGGCATCAGAGCAACACACGCATACAATTTCATTGCCACGGAAGTTGGTGGTGTGGAGAATTTAGAGTGCACGAAGAGAGATGCATTTAATTTTATCCAGAGAGAAAGAAGAGAAAGAATTGAACAGGGAGATGTCAATGCTTTAATACAATTGTTCATGGAGAGGCAATCTGGGGACAGCATGTTTGCTTGGGATTTCCAAACAGATGAGTCTGGTAGGTTAACAAGCATATTTTGGAGTGATGGATTGTGCAGGTTGGATTATGACTGTTTCGGGGATGTCATAATTTTTGATACAAGCTACCGATTAAATAAATATAACTTATGTTGCGCTCCATTTGTGGGGGTTAACCACCACTGGCAGAACGTACTGTTTGGAGTTGGATTTCTATCTGACGAGACCACTGAATCATTCATGTGGTTATTCAAATCATTCATTCGAATAATGGGAGACAAACATCCCATAACTATCTTTACCGATCAGGATCAAGCAATGGCAAGAGCCATTGCAGAATGCCTCCCACAGACACGTCATAGATTATGTCAATGGCATATCTACAAGAAACTACCTTCCAAAGTTCACTGTGGAGTGCGCACTAAGAGTGTGGCTGGTCTTTTCTATAAATGTTTGAGCAAGTGTGATTCTGAGGAGGAGTTCGAAGAAACATGGTCCTTAATGATTGAGTTTGGGGAACTTGAAAGCAATGTTTGGTTAGATGAAATGTATCGTATAAGGCATAAATGGTCAACTGCATTTAATAAGGATATATTCGGTATGGGAATTTTATCAACACAGCGAAGTGAGTCGACCAACAATGTTTGTCATGGTGTTTCAAAGCCAACTAGCTCTCTCACAGATTGTTTTATCGGTCTTGAAAACATTATGAAATCGTGGCGCAGGAGTGAGAAAGATGAAGATTTCAAATGTGGTCAGTCCGTGAGGACACCCATGGTTAAAATCAATCCCATGCTGAGGCAAGCATCCTCATTCTATACAAGGAAGCTTTACTCAATGTTTGAACAAGAGCTCTTGAATGGCTTATGTGGGCTAACATATGAAGTATCAGTGGAGAGCGATGCTAAATATTATGTATCAAAATTGGATGATGAGGGGACAAGGCAACCCTGGAATGTGTTAGTTGACAAGGTGACTTGTGAGGTTACATGTAGTTGCAAAAAGTTCGAGATGATGGGGTTGTTGTGCTCCCATGCATTATTTGTTTTAAGTCTTGCAAAAATAAAGGTGATTCCAGAAAAATATTTCTTATTGCGGTGGTCCATCAATGCTAAAAGGGACATGTATAACAGATTCGGGTGCAAAGAGCTAAAAGACTCTGGATGTAATAATGTTTCTTCAAGTTCCCTTATATTCAGTTCATGCTCCCAAAAATTTGCATATAAGCTCATTAATAGAGCACAAGGACATGAGTTAGCTGAGGAGTGTCTGTGGGAAACTTTCAGAAAGTTATCAGGAGATATTGAGGATGCCATAGCAGGGAGAACGATAGAATTACATAAAACCAAAAAGAAGCATAAACCCAGAATAATAGAGTGCAATGTCAATGACCCTGCTAAAAAAAGGCCGAAAGGAGTATCTACAACGAGGCTGAAAGGACATTGGGAGAGAAATAAGAAAGCCAAAAGTATAAATTTTTTATTTTACTATTTCCTCATTCCATTCCATGTATAATGCGTACTTCTAATTTGACCCATTGCGTCCAGGAATGGAACAAGAAGCAGCAAGTAGCCGTCGAGCCGTGGACGCATTCGAACAAAGCTTGACAGATTGCCTTACTCAGGTATGCCGATAAATTTGCCAATTATATCACTATGTCTTATATAAAGAACTTAATTTATTTCTCATTCCTATTACTGACCTGCTGCAGGAAAACTATGCATCGCAACTAAGCCAAACATACAGTGGACTTTTGATGGATTCCATAAGTGAGACTTTATATTGATTGATATTGTAATAGCTGTTATAGTGTATCAGTTGTAAACGTTTTTACGAAAAGGTTATTTGTTGTTTATAATTTGTGTTTGTCGAAATATTTGTATATCTATCCTGCTCAAACGTATATATCAACTGTAACACGGGAATAACACGTAAATAACACGAGAATAACACTGCAATAACACAGGAATAAGACGAAGACAACACGTGAATAACACGGGAATAAAACGTAAATAATACGTAAATAACACGACAATAACACTGCAATAACACGGGAATAACACTTAAATAATACTGCAATAACACGAGAAGGACTTGACATAACACGGGAATAACACATCAATCTGACGATGAATAATACAGATAATAATACGTGAATAACACGAGGAATAACACAAGGATGACATTAAAATAGCATGAGAAATTCCAGTGTCTTCACTCATGTCAACCATAAATGAAACACGAGAATAACACGTCAATAACACGGGAGTACCACGTGAATAACACCAGGAGTAATACGTGAATAACACGCAGATATTACGTGAATAACACGGGAGTAATACGTGAATAACACAAGGATTACTGTCAGTAACGTGGATATTAATATAGGATAACACGGCATGAAGACAAGGATAACACGTTGAAAGCACACCAATAATACAGGAATAGTACAAATAATAATAAGTGAATGACACGAGGATAACACAGTGTTTAAGACGTGAATAACACAAGAATAACATTAAAATAACACGGGAATATCATTGTCCTAACTCATGATGTAAACCATCAGAGAAACAGAAGAAAAACACGGCAAAAACACGTAAATAACACAAGAATAACACTACAATAACACGGGAATAACACAGGAATAACCGGGATTACTCACGTGTTACTACGCGCCCAAAGCGAATATTCCTTGTGTTACTCACCGATTAATCGGCGTTATTCTGCGTTACCGCGCGGCTTCTAGCGTGTTACTCCTCTGTGTTATTGCCGATTAATCGGCGTTATTCCTCATTTCATCGTGGTATTTAAACGATCAAAGATTTCTAAGTTTTTTTTATTACAAATAGAACAGGATAATTAATATTAGAATATTTATTGTCTGCGGCTCACTCTTTGGTTATGCCCGTGTTATTCACGTCTTACTGACGTGTTACTCCTGTGTTATTCATGATGGATCAGCCATATTATCTCGTGTTATGGACGTGTTACTCCACGTTACTCAGAATGTAGCAGCTGCATTATTCTTCTGTTAGTCTCGTGTTATCCAGGTTTAACTTGATGCATTTCTCTCGTGTTGCTCCCGTGTTATCCACGTATTACTCCTGTGTTACTGCAGATGTCGCAGCTGCATTACTGTCGTGTTACTCTCGTGTTATACAAGTGTTACTCCCGTGTTACTGTCGTGTTATCCAAGTGTTACTCCCGTGTTACCCTCGTGTTATCCAAGTGTTACTCACGTGTTACTCTCGCGTTATCCCTGTATTAAAGCCGTGTTACTCGTGTTATCCAAGTGTTACTCTCCTGTTACTCCCGTGTTACTCAGAATGCAGCATACAGGTAAGGCCAGTTGACAAACATGTAACTCTAGTGCTACACAAAAAAATATTTACATTTAGCTATGAACATTCTGAGGCAGCTATACAAATAATCTACACAAAGGAGACCACTATCACATATACAGTAACCTAAAAAAAATATGCAAGGAAAAATTTCACAGCTTTAAGTAGCAGTCCTTGAAAATAAGCACAACTCATAAACAAATTCAGCTCTAAATCTCTGCATATGATCCTGCCAATTCATATGTACACTCCAGTCGACTTCATCGCGCTGCACTAGAGTTTGCATGTACTTGCAGACGAACATCCCACAGTCAAAACTATTCCTTTGTGTGGGTACGTTCTTTGTGATTGACAGGGACCATTTATTGATTTTAGATGTAAATGCATCACCGGCGTCCCTAGCAAACATATTCACCTGAATGATAATGACATGTTATTGTGTTAATCTTTTAATGGAATTGTGTCACTTTTAATTTAGTGGAATAGACTTACAACTTCCATAGCGCCAGCCTTATGTATTTGGTTGGGTAGCGAGTCGTATATTCGCCATTTTCTCAACCTGAGATCCAGCACCAACAAGATCCAATGTTGATTATGAATAATTGGAAAGAAAATGGCTTTTGCTTCTTTGACGACCTCGTTGGTGATATGTCTAACATAAGGTTTGCTGCCATATGTCTTATGCATCTACAAAAATATATTACTTGGGATTTGCAAGGAATATATGAATTTAAGTTGAATGAATAGAGTTTACAAGTTGTAGAACATACCCCAAACATTGGTGAGACATACAGGTATGGCCGGTATAACTCTGGTCGCTTCGAAGTTGTCTCATGCAACATGACTGCAAATATATCAACATGTTCGTCTGCAAGCCACTTATCTAATAATATATCTTCCAGTGCTGATCGATGAATCAAAATATGACCTCTTGTAATGATAACGTCACTGCATTGACACCAAAGATAATTAAAAAAAATATAAAAGGAAAAAATGTGCAGCATTACCTGCTCTTGTACCTGGATAGACACTGCTCTATTTCTTCCTGCATCTCAATTGAGATGAATGGCCTACCAGGATATTCAAAAGTTGAAGCCGGAGGACGTACCTGCAAAATAAACCAATCCATGAATGACAGGATAAAAGAATATATAAGATATGCTTCAAAGCACATAACTATATTATTAACTTACGACTATGGCATATTGGTCTGCATCAGGGCTGGGGCTTCGACTAGAAAGATGTTGATACTCGGTTGCCTGTAAGATTTCTTCATCTGAAAGTTGGGCCTTCTGGGGTTCATCCTTTTTTGAATCAGTCAAAAGCCGCGTCTACAAAAAATATTGTTAACCCTAATAAAGTAGGAATGTGCATAATTAATTAGAAATGACAATGACACACTTACTGATTCGGCCAGAGCTTCAATAACACCTTTAACTGCCCGTTCAACTTCTAAAGGGTCTTCTTGGATTGTATCATCGGACATATGTGCATGTTGTGCCTCTCGTGTTGCTTCTTCGGCGTCTCCAGCCTCTAAAGGAACATCAGTATTCCTTATTGTTGGTTCTGGTACATCTATATTGACAGGAGCAATAATATCTACATCATCAACTTTTCTGTGTCTTCTTTTAAATTGGTATTGAGATGCAGGGCGGTCAACTTTCCTCTTCTGCTGATGACCACTACTGCTGGTCTTCTTACTTGTCTCAGATATTGTTTTCTCAGAGAACTTCTCAGCTTTGGTTTCAACTAGTCGATGCACCAAACCTGTTAGGGTGGACAATGCTTCAACCACAGTGTTCATCTGTGCACTCACACCAGTAACAGTTTGTTGTATATTTAAGCTGATCTGCTCCTGAGATTTCAGCATCTCATATATCACCCCAAAATCAGCACTCTCCGTTGTATGTCTGGGTACTGGGGTTATATCACTAGAGACAATTGTTCCCCTGGCATACGCTTTAGGTGAAGATGGTCCTGCAGTGCTTTCGTGAGGTGGAACCTGGCTTGCAGGGATCGGCGGTCCCTGCTCTGGATTTTCGAGGAGTTGTACTTCATCATCAGTTAAAGCCAGGAATCCGTCATTCACCTACAATGAAAATGTATTCGTCAGAATCGTTGCAATCACTGTTAGAAAACTAGTAAAAATGTGTGTCAATAAGCTGTAAGCAAAATTAAATGGTTTAAATGATCAAGCTTCTTGAAGGCTTCATGGATCTTCTCAGCACTCAACCCATGATTGGTTGGCCACCTCAGCATGCGAGGTCTAGCGTCAGGATCATCAGGAGTTAGAAGAGAGGTGTGCTCGTAAAACCAAAGCTGGGGATGTTTTATACCATTACGCAGAAGTCAGGACATCAAAGAAACAATTCGTAAGAGTGATGTTTAAATGAAAATAACAAATACTTACTGTTAAGAGAAATACAAATCCTTGAATGTAGCCGATTGATTTATTTTGCCTTAATTTCACTGAGGCGATTCTAACTTGATCGATGATCATATCACATATGGCAGCAGGCCAATTGTAAGACGAAAAAGCTTGTACATTTACAGCAAAAGAAGATAGCTCTGCATGCACATGAAAATTGCTTGAAGGAAAAAACAAGTTAGTTAGTAAAAATTTCAAGTATAACTCCTCAAAAGGTGGGGTGGAGGCTCCTTCTGCAAAAAAGTTTGTGAGTTGGTTCTTTATTTGTCTGGCATCCACATTTGATAGGGGTCCTCTTTTCCATGAAACAGGCTCTCCTCTATTGGGCATCCCTATCAACATAGCCACATGGTCAGCATGTAACTGAACCTCCTTTCCACCCATTCTGAAGACACCCCTCTCATTATCCCAGCATCTCAAAATATGTAAAGTCATCACATTGTCCTGGGGATATGGGGGCATGTCAAAGAAGTTGAACACCCTTATTTCCCTTAAATTATTAATGGTCTCCTCTGAAAGAAGATCACGAATAGCATCCAGGGCACTTCTCACTGCAGATGGACGACATCTACAGTTGAAAGTCCTTGCACTCATGATCCTGCAAATTAAAGATATAATGACAAATTATTAGAGCAACAGTCATAAGAAGGGAATAATAGACGAGCATAACTAGTTACAAAGCATGAATAACACGGCAATAACACATCAGTAACACAGCATAACTAACTTATGGCATTAGTGCAGTTAATAATAATAACCCTAAACCCATCAATAATACATCAGAGTAACACGGAAAAAACACATCAGTAACACAATGCAGTTAATGCAAAGTAACAAGGAACATAATTAACAGTAGAATAACACAGCAGAGTAACTCATTAATAATACATGAGTAATACAAGAATAACAGTAAACCTATGTCATTAATTAATAATTACCAATATTACGTGGCATATGACATCAATATTACATGAATAACACGGTAATAACGCATCAGTAACACACCAGTGACAATGTAAAAACAGAGAAAAAAAATAGATGAAACATTAATAATACATGAGTAATACAAGAATAACACTAAACCTATGTCATTAATTAACAATTACCCTGATAAAGTGGCATATGACATCAATATTACATGAATAACACGGTAATAACGCATCAGTAACACACCAGTAACACAATTTAAAAACAAAAAAAAAATAGATGAATAACACATTAATAATACATGAGTAATACAAGAATAACACTAAACCTAAGTCATTAATTAACAATCACCCTCATAAAGTAGCATATGACATCAATATTACATGAATAACACGGTAATAACGCATCAGTAACACACCAGTAACACAATGTAAAAACAGAAAAAAAAAGATGAATAAAACACCAATAATACAATAATAACACATCTAAACTATGTCATGGAGGTTTCTGTGAGTCTAAAGAATTTGGTTTTATCCAGTTCTCGAGTAGGGTTTTTCTCAGCTGATCATTGAAATCCATGATGTGTTATTTATGTGGTATTGCCGTGTTATTGTTGTGTTTTTTATATTTTACTGGTATATTACTGATGTGTGGTGCTATTGACGTGTTACTACAGTGCATTGTTGTGTTACTGATGTGTTACTCGTATTTCCCGACTCTGGTTTACGTTCATACCGTGATTTTATGGAACGAGACGACGCCATGACCTTCGCTTACGCCGGAAGCTCCGCTTTGCCGAAGGGTTTCGCCGGAAGCTGCGTTGCGCCGGAGATTTTCGCCGAGTTGTGCCGGAGATTTTCGCCCTAAAATCTCGTAAATCAGTAGAAGTTAAAATGCGATTCGGTTAAAAGTAAAAGAAGTTCGGGTAATCGTTCGGGCCGGGTTAATATTTTTCCCCTTTTTATTTTTAAACAATGAAATGAAAAGTGGGCCCGAAATTTCCAAGTGTCGCATTTATATTGGCTACGCACCGTAAGGAAGGTGCGTAGTACTGAGGGAATATTTCTTCGCCAAACAGGCCCCCGAAGAAATTCGAAAACAAACCCGCTGCAACGCGTTCCTTTGGTCGTCGCGCTTCCATGGCCATGACACCCTCGACGCTCACTCCGACCCAGAGGTACGCTGCAGGGGCCCTCTTCGCCTTCGCCCTCCAGCAAGCACAGCTGCATCAAACCCATCTCGTCGGCTCCTCCACTTCTGTCGATGACGGCGGCAACTCCGGTAGCTCCAGTAACAGGAGCAACTTCAGCGGAAGTGATGCCGACTGCGAGTCAACCCAGCTCTGGATCCATCCATCTCGTGGCCTCCTTCGTCCGGTGTTTAGGTCTTTCTCCCTCCCCCTTGCCTTCTATATATCTTATCCAACTCGTTATCCAGCTTACTCATGTCCTCTTATTTAGGTTTCTAGATATCGATTCGAAGGCGTGGCCGGGTTTGGAGGAGACCGCTGCGTATTCTGATGCAAATCATCATGTTGGGGCGGTGTGGCCTTTTTACCTCTAGTCTTTTATTCTTGTAGTTGTTATTTCAACAGATAAATGTCCTGATTATGAAATTTGGTTCAATGATACATGGTTTTGATGAAATTGCTGATCATTGTTTGTTCGAATTGGAGCTATTGAAACTTCAGTGAACTTGGCTGAGAAACCGTTATATGTTAAGAGGTTCATTCAACAGTACTTTTGTCTATGTATCAATCGCAATATCGCTGTAAGACGAATGTTGTTTTATTACTAATTAGTAATTCCTGTTAAAAAACTTGTATTTGAAAAGGGCTGTTGGAAATTGGAATAAAAATAAACGCTTTTTTGTCAAGAAAGATCTATGTTTCTCTGATAGGAAACATTGTGTTACTTGATATGCCCTTGAAGAAACCTAAATTATGTTGATGTATGGCTGCTGAAAATAGTCGACTGATCTCATGGATTCTCAAGTGCAAATCATACGATTATATTGAATGCCTTTATATCTAAAATTTATCTTTTTAAGAGCTCAAGTTTTTAGTAAATCTTGTTTAGAACTTCCTATTTATTATTATTATTTTAAAATGTAGCAACCTTACCCATCCTTCACCCATCCTTTTGTTTCACTTCATGCCTTCGTTAATTTGTTGATGTGTGAGTTCAAAAATTTTCTTTCTTGAGAATGATTTTGATATATCTGAAAGTTCAACTCTTCATTGAAATTTGGTCATAGATTGTGTTTATATATATATATTAATGGAAGCTATTTTCGTGAAGATCAGGTAAAATTGTAGTATCTCCTATCTTATTTTGTTTTAATGTTTTGATATTTAATAGGCTAACCAGAATGTGTTTGTTTAATCGCTACTTGAATAACTTCATGTTCTATCATTGTACCAATATTTGTAAATCATTCTAAGGGTACAAATTTTCATTGTTTTTTAGTATCTGAGGATAATGGTTGAAGAAGACAATGTAGGATCTTCAGAGAAGGACGAACTACAACTTGCTTTGGCTAAATCTATTGATGCCATGGCAATGAGTTTGGAAACTGTTCAACCCGCAGAAGAGAAAAAGGCAATCAGACATGACTGGTCTTTTGAACCTTCAGAACCTGCTAGCTTTAAGCTATCAGCCATAAGAGAGGAGGCTATCAGACGGTATAACCATGCTTGTGATAGAGGGTCCATGCTGGCAAATATTTCAATCAATTATCCTATGAAAGTTACAATTTTATTTGAGCTATTGTCTGCATGTGTGGCTGATTCACCTCAAGACTGTGAGAAAGTATCAGTGCGGAGGAAGGGATATGATGCCCGCCATCGGATTGCTCTAAGGCTCTTAGCAACATGGCTTGATATCAACTGGACAAAAATGGTATGTTTCATCAACTTTCTTATAACATGTTGCTTTCATTTTTTTATGAATTTAGGACCAACAAACTATGGTTGAAGTCAAATAATGCAGAATAAGTGGATAATATTTTGATGATAGTGTTGAAGATAATGATGATGATTAAGAAAAGCTTTTGCTGGTTGTGGGTATCATCACTTTATACTACTTTCCCCAACTATTTTGTATTGGCTTTGAGAGAATTTGTTGACCTTGCTTAATAAAAAAACATGTTAAAGTAGAGGAAACCTCTTTTTAAAATATTTTTTTTGAATTTTTATTGATTATTTTATGTTTTTTTTAACTTACAATGTTGAATGAACGAGCTCGTATATTAACATGCTCTTTTTTATGGTTGGCTTGTTTAAAATTTGTGTTACCAACTTAAAAATGATGTAGGTTTTTTTTGGAAAGGTGAGCCCAAAGGGTAATATGCGCGATTCGAATCCGCGGCCTTATGGTGAGAAACTATTTATAAGTTGTAATACAAAATGACCAACTAATACAATTCATAAAACTAAAATGTTTACAAAAGATGGAAGATCTAGTTTAATTCCTATCAAATATGACGCTAATAAGGCTTAGATAGTCACGTGCCTTTTCATTTAGCATTTAATTGGTAACTATCCCTGATGCGTTAGTCCTTATATTGCTTTTTACTAAAATTGATCTTATCACTGAGCTAAATAAATAGTCCTTTTACATGTAGGTGTCACCCCTGTCAATTTAATTCACACATTTATACTCAACTAGTTCTAATTTTTTTTCATTTATTTCTTTCATTTGAATCTATTCATCTATGTACGAGCTAAATAATTAGTCTTTTTACATGTAGGCCTCACCCCTTTCAACTCAATTTACCCATTTCTACTCAACCAGTTCCAATCTTTTTCTTTTATTTCTTTATTTTGAATGTATTCATCTATGTACGAATTTAGACGGTTCATCAATGTAGCTGGTTCGAAGATGTTAATCATCTAATGAAAGGAAAATAAAAATTATTTGTTTTAGAAGTATATTAAGTAGAACCAATTATGGCCGTTTTCCTACTTTAAACCAAATGCATGTTAGGATAAATCTATTTTTTTTAGTACACCTATCAATACTAATGGCAAAAAGATTAAGCACCACAAAAAGTCATCAAGTTTTGTGTGATATCTGAAACAATTTCTTATGCCCGGGGATAGGAGAGAAAAATTGTTTTGCTATCATGAAAATACTAGAGTATAAAAATAAATAAGGCATAATAGAACACTTTCATGAATCCAAAAATAATTAATCTTATCACAATAATTCCTAAATAACCCATGGCAAATAAATAGAAAAAAATCTCCTAATAATCTTGTGAAAGCATAATAATAATACAAAAAAATCAATGAAAACATATATCTAAATTATATTGGTATTTTGATTTAAACTATATATTCCTCAAATGGATTCCACATTATAGCATATGATATCATTTTGCTTATTATGACATTTTTGGGCTTGCGTCGCTTCAAAATAGTTAACCATGATGAGAAACTAACAAACAAATAAAACATTTTTTAACAACTGTATTTTGACTAGTTAATATCTGCCATATTAGAATTATTCATACAATAAAGCCATTATAAAATATCATTCTAGTAGAGATTATTGTATGCCTCGAAATTTTTGTAAGTGGGAGTTTATGGTAACCAATGGGTTGAATGAGCAACATTCAAAATTGAAGAATTTGAAGTTGAAATGAGGGGAGTCAGTGAGCTGTTTTGTCATTATAAACAAAGCCATCAAAGGTGAAGGTAGAAATCTTTTTTCTGTATCGATAGAGGGAGAGGGAGATTGAAAGCCGCGAGCGCAAGAAAGTGCATCTGCTCAAGCAAATCGAACACAGCTGTTTGAGCGCATGAGGAAAGAATATGATGTTGTTGGGTGCTTTGTGCTGGCCTCGATAGATGAAATGACATTTTTGAAGCTGTGCGAGTTTAATCACTATTAAAGCGTGAAGAAGGGAATGAAAGAGGTGAGCTCAACATCAAAAAGGAGAATCGAGCCAACGCTCTTCCACTAGTTCTTAATTGGATTCGTTGCATCATCGACGTAGAAGTGGAATGTGATCAGAGGACCGATTGTGCATAGGGACATAATGAAAGATTACCGTGCAATTTGACAGTAGGAGCAAGCACTCGAAGAAGACAAAGCTAGCGATAACTCTCCTGATCGAAGCATGCAATCTTCTTATGGGCCTACAACATTTGTACGTAGGAACTCGATGCCAAGAGCAGTGAGTGCTGAATTCACGCGAAAAGGTTGGGGCTTGGGACGAGCTAATTTAATTGAGATAATTTTAATTATGCATTTTATTTATAAATCCTAAATTTTTAGTTTATACCTATAACATATTTTACTAGGGCTTTTGTATGAAATTAAAGATTTATAATGTTAGTCTAATATTTGTGGATCGAGGAGAGAGAAGTATAACGTTAAAGTAAGATTTGAAGCAATTTAACAAATTAATTTTGGTTAGCAAGGAAAATTTTATTTATTTAAAAATAAATTTTAAATTAATGGAATTAGGATAGTTTAGTGAAATAAATTTTTGTAAGAAGTGATATGACTTATTATATATTTTTATAGAAATTATATGTTGAGCTTTAAGTTTCCTCTGACTTAATAAATAAAAATAATTCTAGAAATACTAAGACACTAAAATTGAAACATTATATAATAATTAAATATTAATGGGGATGTTTGGATTTGTATTAGTATTAAAGAATTAAACGTTGATATAGACATAAAAAATGATTAGACATGGAATTAATTATTATGAATATTTTTTATAGGTGTCAAATTAAATGTGAAACCAGAATAAAAGATTAAAATTCAAGCCAATTGAAAGATGTGAGTACTCTTATTTTAGTTTATACTTATATTTTGTTTCTTTTAAATCAATTACATGAGCAATTATTGATATTTGTTAAATTCACTTGTATAATTTGGTACTTATATACGTATACACACACACACACATATAGATACACACACGCGCACGCGCACACACACACACATTGATTATATTGAATTGAATGATATGAACATATGAATGATACGAGCTATATAGACTGCTTGCATGTGCATGCTAAATATAATGAAATCCACCTACTTATAGAATTAGTTGGGGATGACATAATTATTAATATACCGTTGCATGAAATTTGACAAAAGATATTGATATTAAAGCATCTTAATCAGTACAATTTAGACGATTTTTTATGACGAATGTAAACAATATAGATATAGATAAGTTATTGCACAGTGTCATTGAATGTTTTAATCTTTACTGAATAATCATAATTAAATATTAAGATTTTAATTATTTTTACATTAATTAAACATATTTAAGTAGTATATATTTTATTTTTCTGTCATTACATTAGTATAGTTTAAAAGTATCAGTATTGAGTGTTTGTTGATAAGTCGCTGTGTTTTAAACTCATTTTTTATATCAAAATTTTGGAGTATAAATGAGTAATAGAGGATAAAACATGCATAGAAAATGGGTTTAGCAAGGAAAAAGGTATTTATTTGTTTAATGTAATTTTTAATCATTAGTGGCTCTTTCATTGTTTTTTGTTTTGGATGATTATCTATAGCAGTTAGCTATATAAATTATTTTCCTTCATCGATTTTCTGTTCCTTTCTTGAAACATCCAGCCCTCTAGGCTTGTTCGTGACAATTATTTTATAAAAAATTTATCTTTAATGAAAGGTGGTTAATTTATTTGATTAGCTTATATTTCTTTCCTTTTGTTACTTCATCATATGTAAAATCTTTTTATGAGTAGAGGATGGTTGCAAGAGATGGTATTGAATAATCAACAGTAGCGAAATATAGAGCTGCAATTTCCTTCTCCCAACTTTTGGTTGATTTTTCACATTTCTCTTTTAGAATCATTTAATATTTTATTATAAATATTTATACTTTCATTTTTTTTATTATGAATTTATCTCACTGTTTAAAATTGTGCAATTTGGGGCATGCCTTAAGTCCCGCCTTAGAGCAATTTAAAAAAAAGAAAAAGAAAAATGCTTCATGGCTTACTCATGGAGCAGCTTGGGCGAGGCATACACCTTACATTTGCTGAGCTCATCAAGACCACCCGTGCCTAAATTCGGCTGAGGCCTCTCCTCTAGTGCTTAGATTTTTATCCCTTATATTAGATAAGTCGAATATGAACTGTAGCCCCACTCTCATGCGCAAGAGCTCCCATCTCCCTAGTTAGGCATCTCAGCATTGCCGCTTGTTGCTTCTGCCCCCCGACGCTAACTCAACTGCTTGGTGCTTTCTCTGTCGGTGCTTCCACTTAATGCTTTCACTTCAGTAGCCGCTTGCTTCTTCTGCTATAGTCGCTTGTTGCTCCGACTGCAGCCTTAGTTGTCTGCTGTTGTTGCCATCGCAACCCACCAACTACATCTAGATCTATGAATGTTATTGTGTTAGTTTGCCAATAAGTATGAAAGAAATCTACTATATTAAATTCATCTTAGATCTTTGATATTTTATGTTGCATTCATTTCATGTTTTATGTTTTTTGATGACTTAATTAACTGATGTTTATATTATATTTTTATTTTGTATAAGTTGTTACATGATACTTTGCGGCTTACATAATTTTGTTATTGCATCTAAATACAATTTATCACTTTTTATCATCTAGAATGTTAATATATCTTTATGTAATTTATATATAAGTTATTATGCTAATTTATATATTTACCATTTTATTTTGACTTAATTTATCACTTTTTATCATGCTAGAAGCTTAATATATCTTTCTGTAACGTATATGTAAGTGATGATGTAAATATATTATTTTTACCATTTTATTTTGACTTAATTTTCAAACTATGAGGCTTATGTCTCAAACTGCTTTGAAGCTTACTCCTTAATCCCCAATTGCGCAATTTTATACCATGGTTAATCTTAAAGATTTTGACACTCA